TATTCTCACCATAAGTGAATAGTAACTAAGAAACTATTGGCCGGAGGGAATAAAACTTACTTTTATTTGAGAGATCACCTACCGTGAGTGATCATACATTTGTAAATGACCATTAGATATTACTTAACATATTAATATGCATAATTCTATTATAAATAACCAATTATCGCTATTTGTCCATCGGTAACTAGTATTTCCCCTAACTATAAAAGGTTATATTATCGACTTTCCCTAGTACGAGAATTACCTCCAAGATGTTCACTCTAACTTCTATACATGGAGGTATCATAGTTCCATGTATTGTTATCACTCCCCATTAATAATAGTTCAACTAAGCTGAAACAAAGTGGGGCTTACTAATCATATGTTATAAATAATCATCTTTTATAACATTTAAATCCCTATATTAATCTCCCTCCATCTTAAAAGGGAATCAATACCTATTCTTGGAGTGAATATCTTAAGTAATGGATTTGAATTACTCTTTTTATGTTGCTCTATGTATGTGTTTGTACTATTATAAATCAGGTGAGAATATATCATTCCCTTACTTTATATATCTATCAATGTATATTTAACCAATATATGAATTGTGCACTCGAAGGGTTAATATATCAAAGCATGGATGATATAAATTCTTTTGAAATGCATTAACCCCACTCATAATGTGAGGAGTGTTAATTCAACTATGTGCATTAATCCCTTACTATCAAATAGGAGTTGATCTTGTTCGATCAATAATACAATTATCGTGGTATAGTTATAGATTAAGGATCTCTTAATTTAGGATACATGTAGCTTTTTCATATTAGTCACTAGGCTATATCATCATGGAATGAATTAAATTAATCCTTATTCTAACCTCTCCCTCTAGGAACTTATTACCAACTAATATCCATGTATACATACGGAAGTCTATGATTTGATAAGCATATAACTTTTAAATCAATAATTATTACTTATGAGCCACTTTTGAGGATATTAACCTTTTTTGTGGTTATAATCTCTCCCCTCACGAAATCCTCATTTTAGTCATTAATATCATACAAATTTCATAAGAGATGAGTTAATTTAGTTTGATGATTATAGCTAATTGAGAGTCCCTCGCATTATAGTTAAATATTGCTAATATTTTAATAATATTCACTCAATTCTGTGAGCCTATGACATTCTTTATTAGGGGTAATTTCATTAGCTATTTTATTTATTAGGAATGTTAAAGAAATAAGCTATTATCAATGGCTTATTTAGTGAAGTATAGGGTGAATTCTCTACCTTTAAGCTAAGTTAGTAGGGAGTTATTTGATCATTTAGGATGGGTAAAATTTGGTTAATGATATTATGTCCCCATTTCCAAGTTTTAAATATGAACATTGGTAATTGAATAGGCTCTTTTAACATTTAACGTTTCTATAATATTAGTTTGTTTATGTAATATTATTACCAATGGATTAACGTATAGAATTGGCTAATAACCTACAATATCAAGTATACCTAAAAGTAAGGAATATAATTAGAATGTGTAATAACATTACTATGAATCAATTTATGTTGAACATAAAGGAGTGAACATATACTACCTGATTTAGAAATGATAATTCACAATTAAGGAGTAACATTTTGTTGAACGGGCCTACTTGTTAGGGAAAGGTAAAGGTATATCCATGAAAATATTTATCCCTTTATAATAAATTTTAATTAATAGACTTACATATTTTATGACCATACACTACTATTGTCTATATGAATATCAATATTAGGAGTAATAGAAAGGGATAACGTCAAAATAATTGTATATTTTGATAGAATGTTACTGGTGATGTAGAATACTATTGATGTGTATTTATTTGGCCTCACTATTGATTATTTATAAGGTATATCTAAAATTAGATAATAGTGACCTATAATTAATAGAAAGTGTACTATAACATGGTAATATAGTACAGTCCAATTGATTCTTTATCTCAATCGGGTAATATAATATGTCCGTTCTTCTGTGAGCTTAATTGACGAAGGAAAAGAGGGAGTGAGGAATAAATATCTAGGATTTTATGCTTAAATGGAGATTACTAAGAGCATATAGAAAAAAACCTATTCTTTATGTGGAGAGTTGATTGACATATATTATCCCAATATATTATCCAATATGATAATTCACGTATCTCCTTTATTATGAACCTATTGATGTAAACCAATGCCAATTAGATATCCTTAAACTACATATTAAGTTGGCATTTCGAGATTTTGGTTCAATCCATGGCAGCATAAACTAAATTCTTGTGATTCCATAACTATTCCAATGAGGCTTTGATAAGGTAAACAAATATAGGAAGCTACATTATATAATCCCATGGAGAGTACATTTATATAAAAAGGGGACCCATTCATACTACAATGAGGCGTTAATAAAGGTTGATTAAAATGATGAGGGAGTGTAATTATTCATCGAATAGTTGCATTGCCAAAATGTACATTCACTCTATAGAGCCTGTTCATATAGAGTACATAAAAATGTCGATATTTTTGGGATAAATAAATACTATAATATAGCCTAATATACTAGTGCCTCATTGTAATAGTTTAACAATGGTATACTTATATTATTATCAATAGCCCCGTCCTATAGCATATCAAGCTACTAAATATTAGCGACATTAAGAACACAAACATTAGAAATGATAGTAATATAAGTATAATCTGATTGTCTACCCAACTAATGTGTCCATAGATTTATGGCGAAAAATACTAGGGTGAGAAAGCTATATAATATTAGGATGAGCTATCTCCCCATAATTGTATATTATAACTAGGTGGTATCATCCTCAATCGGGGTGAACCATGGGTATATATTATAGGTTACCAAATCGACTATAATACTTCATGAGGATGAATATTTCTCATCATAGAAGGTACCGATTGGCTATATATTGGTTATACCCTATCATCCTAATATTCGTGGGCCCTAATAACCATTAAAGTATTAAGGATCATGATGCAATTTTCTCGATAACTAACTATGTTAATTCATAGACATTATAATATTTGTTAAACTGAGATATGGCTAATGAGGTATTAGAGGAAACATACTAAGGGTTAACTAAATGTCTCTTTACATGCAAAGTACATTTCCCCCTTAAAAACTCTCCTATATTTCTATCTATTATGCCTAATGTATATTGTGTGACCAATAATAGAGGACCCATAAGTTAAATTAGGTAGAGAAAAATTGCATTTATTATATTGTATATATTCCCGACATCATCAAGAAGTAAAAATATTATAAATGCTCTTAAAAAAGAGGATTATTCCTCCAAAAGCCTACAATACACCTAAAAATGAATTACGGGACCATAAAGGTAGATGTTGTACTACACTAGTTCCTTATAGCTAATTAAGAATTCCATAAGGATACTATTGGATTAGTCATACTAGAATTAGTGTCATGGATTGGTTTAGAGGTATAACATAACATAGTAGATAATTAGTCAGTTATTCTCTAAGATTGGTTATCCTAGTGTAGTACAACATCTGCCTAATGATAATCTCGCCCCATCTATAGAGTATGTGCTAGAGGAACCTATTTGCCAATTTATATCATGGAGTGATAATCCCAAATATTACCAATTGGATCCCTAATATTCACCTATTAAGGATATTATAATTAATCTCTTATTTTGTCAAACTAGATCATCCCCGATTGTCCTAAACGTTTTGACCTTGCTAAGTCATGTGAACATCCAATTTCGGGATGTATCACCATGAGTTTCTCCATCTCCCTATAGCAAACCCTATAAGGCATACATCTCTTTAGGGATATACTTAGATAATTATTTAAAGAGATGATCTATTCACCACAAAATTCCATGTATATTGAGATAAGGACAAAACATTTTTCATTTTCTCTCCCTCTGCCACTTTATCATATATATAATAGGAATAACAATTCTCTATTACAATATTCTTAGGACCCCATAACGATTTCTCTCAATTTATTATTGAGAGCCATAGATATTATGCTAGTGATATCTCCCTAATCCCTTTTAGTATGGCCTCCATTAGCCCGGCGCTGCATCATCTCTCTAGGCTAATATATGATCGTATCACCAATTTGTGTTATTAAAGGATTGGCGTAATAACTATATGAATATGCCAATTGTGACTATTATGATAACATTGACTCCAAGTAACATGCTAGATGATCGATAAGAAATAGCTATAACCATTTGATCATTAAGGGAACATTCTTGAAGATAGGGTAGAAGAACATATAGACCCAACCATCATCATTCCCCCTCTTACCAATGTCAAAACACTCCCTAGTTGTATTATCAATGATAGACATCAAAAAACCTTTTCTCCAATCTTTAATTATTCATCCATAACTTAAACTTGTGGTAAATGTTATCCCTTTGGATTCCCATTCATTCATGCATAATAGTTATTATAACATTATTAGTAACTATTATGAGTGGAGTTTAAAATGATATATCTAATTAAATTATTGATATTAATTTGTAGTTATCCTAAAGGAAGACATCATTAACCAAACTAATCGATAGCCATAATGATATCATGGAGTCAAAACCATACTACATATCCCTCTCTCTTTATCCACTCTCCCCCCTTTCATTCACTCATTTACCTCCTTCCTCTCCCTCTCACTCCTCTCTCTCCCCCTCTCCCTTGAGAGATGCGACCTCCTTTCTTCATGGCATAATTTCTCACCTATTAAGTGGTTACTAATCTATCTCTCTCTCCCCCTCTCCCTCGAGAGATGAGACCTCCTTTCTTCATCGCATAATTTCTCACCTATTAAGTGGTTACTAATCTATCATGGGAGAGGGAGAGGGAGAGAGAGAGAGAAAGGAGTGAGAGGGAGAGGACGGAGGTAAATGAATGAATGAAAAGGGGGAGAGAGAGGATAGAGAGAGGGATATGCAGTATGGTTTTGACTCCATGATATCACAATGGCTATCGATATATTGATAATTGATTACAAGTGCCTCGTCTCATGACCAGAATCAAAAGCTTGTTGGAACGGATAGCTTTATTAACCAAGACATTCATTCATTAGATAGGACTCCCTTGATAAAATCTCTTCCCTCATTTCAATCCGAGCACCACTCTAATTTTGAGGTTTATTAATTACTTCTTTTAGTAAAATGCTAGGGCTGACTATTTATCTTGGTAGGAGCAAAAGATAGGGAAAATCATAAGAATATTACATAAAAAATCACCTAGGGAATATTATGTCAAATAAATGAGGTGCCTTTATGGGTGCTCGGATTGAAAGCATGGGCCGGGGACTAATTTTACTTGATATAAATGGAATCCTCCCTATCTCCGTTTGATATTTTAATTCCTTAATGAGGATTATACCTATAAAGCTCAGTAGAATGATATAGACATGAGCCAATACCATCTTAGTGGTTTCGTATTAAGCGGGATTATTCTATTTAACCGCTTCATCTATTAGGTGTTGGGTTTATCTTGGTAATGGCATTGGTTATATTTGTATAAATATTTGGAGAAGGATAATGCAACCTCTATAACAAGTTAAACTAGTTCGTGTAATGCCAAACGATTAAGAACATATTCAAAGGATTAATCCTTTATGTCATATAGGGGGAGTAGCTAATGGTTACTCCCTCATTTAGAGTAAGTATTCTTATAAAGGATAGAGAGGGAGGAATAAATCTCTCTAAACGAAGGGGTTTGAAAGTTACAATAAGAGTACCAATTGGAGCTAAATGTTCCTAATATGAAAAACTTATCAAGGTTTGGTAGATCATAATTGACAAGGTAGCTCACCATTAAACTGTTCACCATCATCAACTTGATTTTATAAATAGGATATATCCTTAGGAGTTAATTATATTGATGCACTTAATCGTGCCTGTCTAACTTGTAGACTTATGTCAATTTAAGAAGAATACGTAGGATTTTCAAGAGTGGGGGATCGATTATATCAACTCTTTGGTAGGGATCGATTAACACATATCGGAGAGTGTTTGGTATAAATGCGATCTAGTTGAAGACTCTTATACGTCATTTCATCGAGACATCTTATGATAAATTATTATAGGATTATAACTATTTAAGATTAGTATGAATGATAATTATATCAAGCTCAATTTATGCTCTATAGATAATCCCTACCTACCATATTAATTGTTTATAATACCTCGTTATTATGCTCGTCAAGGAGAGTTAACCAATTCCTATAGTTAATCATTAACACCCAAGAACAGGGCTATAGTATATTGTTAAATTGGATATATTCCATTATAAACATTCTCTTCCAATTAGTTTATCCCTAACTGTAGGCTAATCTTTATGGGATTAACTTGTACATCTTTTGATAATACCCTTTGCCACCAGTCCGGCTTTGTACATGTGTGAAACCTCATCGAGAGAGGTTGGATATATGGACAATCACTTATGGTGATATATTGGTAATCAACTAATGCAAGATAGGACAAAGGAATAAATGATAATTGAATAAAAATTTGTCAACAAAATAGTCTTGAGGGGAGAGGGGAGAGGACTAAGAGGCATATACCATATGGAACTCATTTTCCAAAATATGAGATATATCACTATATGACCAACTTATTAATTCTGTTTATAACCCATTAAAGCATTGGTGATAATAACAAACCGTGTCACATTGATCATTCAACCATCGATAATCCTTTACTACATCATGTTAATATTATACCTACCATTAATAGCCTCACTCATCTAGGTACTCCAATAATGTCTACCTTCTCCCCTAGCATAATTGTTATTCGTTTGGCATGAATTATACCAAGACTGAGTTAACATAGATCATAGTGAGGGAAAATTAATGAGAGAAAGATGAAAGAGTATATTCAATAGAACTTTGGCCAATTCACCGAGAGGGGTGAGTATATTCAATAAAGGGGTTATTTTCTATTGATAACATAGATGGATCACTTATGGGATGCAACATCATGATATTCAGTTCGTACTAACTAATTGTTTTACATAGCAAGAAAGAGGGGATTGTCTCTCCTATGGTCAAGTAAGGAGTTATTATAATTGGGACGAGATGGTTTTAATCAATATTTATTTACAATAGTCATGTACAATTCTAAAGAATGGGCATACGCTCCCTCCACCATAGAAAGGAAATATTTTAGATGGTCACCGTATTAATTCAGATAGTCCCTCTATATTGTAAAGGGTTCCTAATAGAAATGGTTAATATGATCATCATGAATGGGTAAATAATATTATGATCATTGTTATAAGTGTTATAAGGCCGATAATGAAAAGGTCATCAATTTTTTTTAAAGGATGGTCATACACAAGCTGATGGTTAGTTGATTCATATATAGAGCACCAAAAAAGACCTAATTTTAATCAAGTGGTATTATGATTGATTATCTCCCTCTAGCTAGTAGAATTTTAAGCATTTTTCTAATTCATGGCTAGCCTATATAAAGAGAAAGTGAGGCCAACATATTAATCCTATATTAGGTCTTTATCCTCATTAGATAGGAGTTATAATACTAGTATTACGACTATTTAATATACCAATTATAATCAATATGGTTCCATGATAAGGAGAATAATTTATAGGTCCTTATGCTTATGATAAGGATAGGGTTAATGAATCATTTAATTCGTTTATCCGGCCCGGTAAGTCCAATAATAAAGAAATATCAAGATACTGATCATAACATATATTGATTAACAACTTTTATATGACTCAAGAGTAATATTTAGTTTATAAAAAGGCCAATCTTTTTTCGGTACATATGACTCTTGGATCCTCAAAAGCGTACAAAACCTAATGGCCGGAGAAGGAGACCAATGACCAATAAGCATCTTATAAGATTAATGGTGGGTTACCCCGTCAATTATAATCTACCAAACCATGTCTATAATGCATTTGTGGAGGGAAAGGAAAAACTCAAACGTTTCATAATGTATGTGGACATGCAAATATTAAAAGATAGACTATATTGTCAATCTAATTCGATAAATGATAAAGTAGATTATATCCATTTTAAGTATCATGTTTATATTGCCAATTGAGATCAAATTCTAACAGACCAAGAGAAAACTAATGAAAGGATAAGTTGACCACTAAATGTAGGTCAATACCTTTTGCCTACTTCTCTCCCCCTTCATTTGAGATGGTATAATATCTCCTCACTTCAGGTAGAGATATCATTGACATATAACTCGGGTAAATAGGGACTCTTAATTAGCTATAATGGTAAATATAATCCATTATCCGAGTTGGATACATACTCCCAATGATATAGGGACTCATTCAAATATTAATATAGGCATCTTATAGTAAGGATAACTCGCTCATTTCCATTGTGGTTTATTATAATATGGCAAATCAGAATGGGCCTAAATATGTGACATTTTACCTACTTACCCATATAATTATGGTAGGTCCAATAATTTATACATAAGCTTTTATGGGGCAATATCACTTTCGTGCCTCATACCGTTTAATCCTTGGCTAAAAACTTGATATTAACAAGTCTAGTTTAAGGATAGCCTATTACTCACCCATCCATTCTCTTCATCTATTATCATACCAACCCCTCAAGTGCATTATAATCCTTTATTAGCCTACAAATGAAGTATTGCCAATTTGGGCCAAATATACATACGAGATTCATGATAACCATATATGTATGGGTGAAATCTAATCCTCAATGAATATTTGACCATAGTATTTGATTCGTCTTGGGCCATTAGTAACTTTGATAATTATACACTGGGTTTATCTTTAAGTGTATATTACCTATTGACATGGAGAGAATAAGATATCTAGAATCTTTGGTAGTGAAAGGTTAGTCATGTTTTGAGAAGGGCTTAAGCTCGTTAATTATAATGAATTGAGTGGTAGGTTATAGAGATATTATGTGAATTAACCATTATTATAGTGACTAGGTGTAGAGGATTTTAAATAGTAGTTTTCAACAAGGTATTTCATGACCTTTACAATAATTAGTATCCTTATAATATAATTATATTGGTTAAAGAATAAAGTATATTACCCCAATTATTCACTTATCCATGGTATATATAGGCTAATCCTCATATTCAATACTTCCTCAATCCTTATTACTATGGAAGGTGCATTATTTGGGTATATATAGTCATACATACCTAGCATTAAGACTCTCATGGATACTTGCCCGATAGTTGGCAAGTATTTTATTTACCTATTCAATTAAGGGTAATCCAACATTAAGAGTTATTTGAAAGACTTGGAGAGACATGGAGAGTGAGAATGACCTATGGTGATAATGTTTCAAGTAGATGAGATGATATGGGATAATCACTTAATTCTATCTTTACTCTTAGTATAACTCGACATATATTTATACCATAATATATAGATGATTATTGATATTACTTCAATGCATGTAATATTGACCTAAGTGTACCTGATTGTAACGCCCCTACCCCGGTTCACTCTCTATTACCCAAATAAGAGTAACTAGGTGAGAAACGTGTCACGCCGACACGAATCAATTTTTGAATTAACCTCAAACATGTATGTGCTCATACATTAAGGACTTATCATACAATGAAATGTGTATAAGACAACATACATAATATTAACAATATAGTGAAAGAAATTATAAAATTTATTTACAATACCATTAAAATATTTATCGACACCCCAACCCTAAAATTACAATCAAAAAAAATTTTGATACACTTGTGTCACACGAAAGCCTTTTTGGAGGACCCGAGTAGCATCCTTACTACTTTGACTCTTTCCTGTCATAACATGAAAACAACAATGGGGTGAGCCGAAGCTCAATAAGAGGGTGATGCACGTGATATGCAATGAAGTTTTGTTTCCCATTCTACCTATCCATCTTAATCCGAGTACCCAAGGTATTAGCAAGACCGTGCATTCTATCTCTCGGTAATCGTATGATCACCTACTCGCTCTATTACTCTCTCTTAGAGATCTCATTATCACCTATCGCTCACAATGAAATTCTCTCTCGTTGTAGCACATGATTAGCGAAATTATCCCTCGATTAATAGTGTTAGTAATAGAGCACGCACATGGTTTCATGTTCTTACCCATTCCATTCAATTGGGTACCAAATCGTATTATGTCACGACTCAATGATTTTTCTCGATTTCATACCACCCCCGAATGCACATGATGCACATGGTATTATGCTTAATACATTCAACTAATTATGCTATCAACATTTTCTTCTAAGACCATTCCTATGTCCCAACGCACACTCGAGACTTCACGGGTGTTTCATGTACCATTCAAAGTATTCAAAATGAGAATACAAATTCCATTCATTGGTAGCATTCATTGCATAAATCTACTTTATGCTTATGAGTTTTCCTTCTCATGTACCTAGTAAGGTTAGACTCGGATTTTTGATGCATTACTTAGTTTACAAGACTCGGTTAATCCTAAGGATTTATGTGTGACATACTTAGGCTAAACTCTTGTTCAATCCGAACCTTTAATCTTAGCAGTCGAAGTTGACTCATAATGAGTCTAAGTCTTAATCTCGATTTTTCTTGAATTCTCTTTTTCCATTACTCCATTTATATGTCTTATTGTAACTGGTCTTGAGTTCACATTTAATTCTTGATCTCTAATTAGATAAAAAGATTCAATGTTAGTCATTTTCTCTCCTAGGCTGAATGGTCCCAAATGAGCAAGAAATTGTTTTTCCATTTCTAGGTCAATTGCTTTTTATACTAACTTACCAATAACTTACCAAACCATACTTAGAAGGGTTATCAAGGAGATCTAAACCTTAAGGTCCATAAAGAAAACCAAATTTAGCCATCAAATATCCAATTTTATCTAATGAAGTCCAAAACCCTATTTTTTTTTCCTTTTAGTTAGGCCGATTGGGTTTTTAAGATAGCCATGGATTGCCTTTTATGTCTAGTGAATTTATTTCCATCCTAAACTATTAACCCATTCCTAATTGAGTTACCATGATATTCTAGGCCCTTAATTTTCCCAAAAGATCCATTCTTTCCCAATTTTCCCCACTTGGCCGAATGGTTTTAACCTAGGGCAACTCTAGAAGTGTAGTTCTTTCCTTTCCAAGTCATGCTCACCAAATCTAGTTTAGCTCTAACCAATTCAGTCCATACTTTTTGTTTTTCTTTACAAACCATCCACACATTTAAACACATCAAACAAACTTTGCATCACAACACAAACACATATATCCATTATAATTTACCAAACCCTAACGCCAACACAAATAACCATAGCAACCCATTGCAAAATTATTACGAACCAATGAAATAAACACTAAAAAAAAAATTAAAACATAAAATAACTAAAAATGGAACCTACTTACTTTGCTTTAAATTCCTAATGGATTTTTAGGCTTTCCCTTTCTTTCTTTTCTTTCTTCTTTCTTTTTCTTTTCCTTTCCTCCTTCTCCCTTTCCTTGTCGTTTTCTCTCCCTTTTGTGTAGCTACGGGATACCTAAAAATTTTCTTGCCATTTTCACTTATTCTATACATATTCATGCTTAAAATCTTAGTACTAATTAAGTGTACAAATGTCCTAATTTAATTGAGGAGAGTGGAAAGTAATTAGTGAGTCAAGAGAGAGAGAGTGGCGGGTTTGATGGGTTTAGGGTGAACTAGCCTTAATTCATTAATTAAAGGGGACGTATGTGTCCTAACTAATTGGTTAGACTAACTAAACACCCTAACTAATCTAGTTCAAGTAACTAAACATCCCTTCCTCTCACAATTTTTGGAAATTCCTCACCTTAAACTCAGAATTCCTTCCGTTAAAAATATTCCAGCAGTGATGCCTCTAAAGAAATCTATATTAAAATGGCCATAACTCTTTATAAATAAGACTAAAAATAATGAAATTTTATAGGGAGTTACTTGAGACATAGGTAAAAAAATTAAATTCTTTAGGATTTACCTAGAAATCTCTCTAAGGTCCTTGAATAAATCACACAAAATTTGGACAGAATATAGTCCTCAAAACACTGATTTTGCATATTTGATTTCTTTAATAATTAAATCATCAATCTCAAGCAAAATAACTTTAATTTAACATAAATCATACACTTCAAGAATTAATTTTTCATGGTGTAATGAGAATTATACTTATACTTAATATATATATTCTAATACGTGTCGCTTTATGGTTAAGGATTTTTTTTACGGGGTTACATCGATTCTATATTTTATCCTTATCGTCTAAAATATCAATACCACTCTTATTTTTTATGTGAACCCCATTATAAAAATGAGAGACCCAAACAACTTTGTCACTAGACAATCCCAAGAACGCACCCAATCAGAGTTACCGAGGTTATAATAAGTGGAACCCGATGCGTTGCCTATAAAGAGGCAAGATCCATTGCTCGTGTTGCAATGGAGTGAAGAACGCCACACCCTATGGAGGATGATGAGTTGAAAGATGCCACAAGGGTTGTAATCCTTGATATGTCAGATTTAGTTCTCAAAAGCAAAAAGGAAGAAAATCTTCTCAAATTTATTAACTCTCAAAATTATTATGTCTCTAAAATAAAGCTAAACCAACATTTCAATAGGCTAACACACCATTCCTAACCCTAAAAGGGCTTTACTTGTCCTTTCCACTTAAGAGAATAAAAATAGACCCTAATGGTCTTAAAAATATATGCAAATAATAAGGCTTAAAACATAAAGTTCAAATGTAATTAATTAGTTCTAACTATAATTAAGCTAGATATAACAACGTAGGCTAAATATGATTTAAGGAGTCCAATTTTGGAGTTGGATCAGATTGATAAGTCTTGGATCCCCCTCCTCTCTTAAGATGGCACCACATTGCTCTCTTAGGCCCTTGGAAGTGCATTCTGCTCAACACTCTTGAATCAGCCCATGGAGAGCTTCTTTAAGCTTCTTAGCCTTAGCTTGTGTCATTAGACCATCTTTAATGTGTAATGGATCAGATCTTGGACTTGTAAACCCGCCATCTTGGACCTTCCTTGGATACA